ACGCAAACTACTTGTTACATCGCGCGTGTTATAAATACACTTATGCAACACAGGGTTTTCCATATAATAAACAAGCCAGCTCGCGTGACAAAACAACTGCGTCCATTATTGTTAATATTATTACTAATAATTATACAAGGGCTGTTAGTATAATTATTAGTAATAATATTATCGATAATGGTTTACATTCATTTTTGGAACAATTTTTTTGAGTTCAAGACTATCGAAACATAACTAACGGTTAATAATTTATTTAGTTATGGTTAATAGTTCATTATTTTTGCTCATTTTAATGCAGAAATTCTTATTTGTAACCATTTTTACCTCTCATTGATTTTTTTAGTATGGGCAAGTCTTCAAACTTAACCACAAGAAAATCTAGGGAAGTAAAGGCTTTATTTCTTTATTATACACATTCTCAGAGAAATAAAGCAGCAATTACAAGTGTTTCAAAGTCGGTAGTGAACCGAATAAATAAATAAAAAGTTGATACAAATGTGATCCTAGAACCATACCTCGTCGGTAGAAGTGGCAAAAGAAAGGCCACTACTCTACGAAATAAAAAACCATGAAAAAAAAAGGAACTGGAATGGGCTAAAAAACACCAGAAAATGAATACTGGAGTAGAGTAAATGTGACTTATAACATTCTAAGAACCCTAAAAAATTATAGCTTAATAATTTAAAATGTCTTTGTAATGTTTTACAGTTCTGCTTCTCGGAGGAGTCAACATTTCAAATCTTGGTGGACAAAAGCTCATTATTCTGACACCGCCTAGCAGAAAAATTTCACCAGGACTGATATATGGAAAAAGTTTTATATCCTGTGAGTGTAATGGTGTGGTTTGTGATCTCAGCTCTGGGTATGGGTTTCCTCTACATTGTGGAAGGGACCATGAAGCAGTAACAGTTCAAAGGAATACTGGAAACAGGCTCCTGCTCCAGGTTTCAAGAATGGTTCTCTGGTAATGAAGAGTATATGTTCATGCACGATTCGGCACCATGCCATAAAACTAAGAGTGTTACAGCATTCCTAGCTGGAAAAAATGTGTGCGTTTTGCTTTGGCCGAGGAATTCATCTGACATAAACCGCTAAGAAAATCTATAAGAGTTTGCAAAACAGTAAATTGCCAAAGAAATCTTCACTACCACGCAGCAATTGATAGCAATCTTTATTAGAGAGTGAATATCCACAATAAGTTTTGACGTGCTTCCATACCATAGACAATATGAGAAACCTTGGAAACAAGTTGTACATAATGTCTAAACACTTTCTGAATAAGAAGAAAAATCTTTCTGTTTTTCAATTTCTGAATAAGAAGAAAAAGAAAAAGAAAAAGAAGGAAAAAAATGTATTTTGCTATCTGACTTTATCAAAAATATTTGAGCTCATACCATATTCGAGCATCAAAGGTAATTTCTAGAACTTTAATAATTCTGTTTATAGTTTGAGCACTTGTTTTCCTATTTCAAATCTCAAATAACCTCTGCATAAATTTTATATGGAGAAATTCATTATTTGTCAGGTCAAACAATATTATTCCACTATTTATCAACCAAATTTTTTAAAATTTTGCAGATAATTAAAAAAAGGTTGGTCTAAATTTTGATGTATTTTAAGATAACTTTACTATAGTAAAACTTTTACATTTTAAATCGACCCAGTTTTTCTGTGAATCACAGCTCTGTAAGTTATGATAGGGTTCAAAATTTTTACATTTTAAATCGACCCAGTTTTTCTGTAAATCACAGCTCTGTAAGTTATGGTAGGGTTCGAAATTTTCACATTTTAAATCGACCCAGTTTTTCTGTAAATCACAGCTCTGTAATTTATGATAAGGTTCAAATGAAACTTTAAGGGATCATAGATAATTATATGAAACGTTAAGTGATCATAGATAATGTAATGATGCGCAGATCGATTTTGAGTTTCCCAAGCACCCTTGGTATTACTGTGAAATCGTGAAACTCTTGGTTTGTTACGCAGCATTGGCATATTTTTATTTCTCGTGATCACATGATTTTGAAACTTCGATTAGTGCAAAATGCGTTTTATTTTTGTTATATTTCAGTAAGCAATCTTGTAATATTATTAAGGTGGACTCATAAAAAGAATCCTTTAAAGAATCTTTTAACATCTTTTGAAGATCATTTTTTAGTTATACCTTTAGTTGTATTTTTATTGTTTCAAAGTATTTTTTGTACTGTTATCTTAAATATAACAAAACGCACCCTAGTATTAAAAGTGTTTCAATATTTATAATGACACATTTTTAATACTAGGGTGCATTTTGTACTATAACTCTCACATACACTATTTCTAAAATACATTTCTAATATTTGTTTGTGAACTGGAATAATGTAATAAAACCTTTGTGTATGTAAAAATGCTATTTAAAAAAAAAAAAAACTTTTCTAAGGAAAAATGACACATTTTATGATGATGAAAAAGGTGGTTTGGTTCCCTGCTGGCACCTTATTACGTCCGGCAGTTAGATACCAATGAAAATTTGTAGATCATTTAAACACCGATCTTTTGATACCAAGTTATAGGCATATAGAAAAGAATTGACAATTTTAGGGTAGTTTAAGATACAAAAACTTTATAAATTGGTCACAGTTTTATTAGTAGTCCTTGTAATTAAGTTTTGTCACAATAATGCTCATAACTTTTTGTAAAATTATTCAATTTACATAAAGTTTTCAATTTTGTAATATTTCTTAAAATCTCTTTCCAATGATATATAATAATCTAATATTTAAACAATTTGAAATATATACACACTTACATCAACTCTGAGTTTTTATTTATCTTTTTTTCTTCTCTCTTTTCTATTTTCTTGTATTTAATTAACTTAACAAAAAAAATTAAAACGCAACAGAAAAGAGAAAAAAAAAAAAAAGATAAATAGAAGCTCATAAGAAAGGGTTATAAATAATAAGTTGAATGATAGTATAAAACTTACAAGCAATGTTTTTCTAAAAAATAGACAAAGAGAGCAGTTTTAAATTTTGAGAATAAGTTACACTTCTTACAAATGACAAATTCAGTAGAAAAATATTAACAATGAAAGCTTACAATGAAATAACTTTTCAACTCAAGGTAAGTACTTTAAAAAGTTCTGAACCACAACTAAATATTTATCTTTGGATCTTCAACAAAAATTTCCATAGGTCGCTACTCCAGAACTTTCGACTGTAAACGCATTTCGGCTGTAGAAAGTATATCGCCAGTAATTTTTAAAAATATTTTATAACATTAAAAAAAATCATTTACGCCGGTAAACTTTACAGCTGGTAGCATTTTACGCCGATATAATGTTCTATAACATTAACCCCTGGTTTATTAAAAAACAGGTCTTATATATATATATATATATATATATATATATATATATATATATATATATATATATATATATATATATATATATATATATATATATATATATATATATATATATTTATATATATATATATATATATATATATATATATATATATATATATATATATATATATATATATATATATATATATATATATATATATATATATATATATATATTTACAAATAGACATATATCCAGTGCTCCAAGTGAGGCGGAATGCAAGGTAATGCCATCCTGTCACTTTTTATAAAGTATAAACCGTCCCGCGACTTTTTTAAAAATCTCTCTATATAACAATGATTTGGCGGGATGGTATTTTTAACGAATACCATCCCTTTACTTGAAGATTAAATTATGCTTGTGTCAATGCAATGGGTAACTCTTTTCCACCACATTTCATATTTAAAGGAAAAAATAATAATGATTACTATCCAGTAAAAGATATCATAATTTAATCTTCGAGTATTTTAAGATTAACTAATGTCAAAATATTCAAAGTAATATTGTACTCATAATATACTTTATGTATGACTTTAATGACATAATGACGTTGTTTGAAGAAAAAATGAAAAAAGGATAAGAAAATATTTATAAATTAAACGAGTAAAAAAATCAACTAAAAAGAAGAATAAATAAATATTTTAAAACAAGAAAAGAAGAAGAAACTTAGATGTTTCTTCTTCTTTTAAAATAAGTAAAGAAGTGTAGAAAATAGAAGTTAAGAAAAAGTTAATGAAATTAATAAAAAGAATGGGAAGAAAAAAAAAAACAATTCATACATCGAAAAAAGATGGGCAAATAAAGATTTTTTTATTTTTTCATATATTTCTTTTGTTCGATTTCAATTAAATTTTTAGAATTCTTTATTTAAGATTTATTTTTTATTTAAGCAGTCTTGTAGTAATGATTTTTCTTTAGTTTTTTAGCATATAAAAACGTATTATTTTTTGTTAGTCATTTATTGTTTTATTTTTTAGTTATTTAATTATTTTTAAGTAGTGATATATAATTTTTTATAGTGTTATATATATATATATATTTTTCATTTTAAGCATTTATTATAAATGTTTTATTCTACCGTGTATTATTATTACTTTTCTTTTTTTAGCAGTGGTTGTTTTTATGTCATCGTTAGTTGTTATGTTTTCTCAGTTAATTACTGTTTGTAACTGTAACTTTGTATGTAAAAACAATTAGTGTATGGAAAATTATACTGATCTATTTAAATTATTTTAATTGCTTTATTATTATTACTATTTTTAAAATAATATGTTATTATTATTATTATTTATTATTATTATAAATATTATTTTTATCATTTTTACTATTACTATTTTAATCATTATCATTAGGTGTTTATGTGATGTTAGTTTATACTATTTATAAATAACTTTAAAATGTAAGGCCAAATATTTCAGAAATATATTGATTGATTGCTTGATATTGATTAAAATAAATATTTTAAAATTAAAAATGATGCTTATTAAAATTAAAGAAAGTAATATAATTTTTAAAAATTTTGCGTTTAATAATATTTTATTCAAAAGAACACATTTATTTACCTATTTTTAAATTAATTTATGCTTTATTTATATATTTTTTTTTAAAGCATAAACAGAAGAGCATGGAGCATCTAAAGATTATAAAAATAATAAAGATAACTCTTCTCCTGTGTTTACTGGTGTTAGTTACTTACTTTGCTTATCAACCAATTTCCAAAATTAAACAAAAAAAATTTTCTGTACACAGCATCACACATAAACACTTTTTGGATTTTTATACTAAGAACCGAATTAAATTAAAAACTAACGTTTTGTCTTACTCATTGTTTGGAAACAATTGGAAGAGATACGGAAAAAATGTTGAATTTGTTGCAAAGGAGGCAGCAAATAATAGCTTATATAAAAACTGGATAGTTCGAATTTATCATGATAGTTATACGATAACACCAATTATTGTTGCAAGGTTAACTGAGCGTTATCAAAATTTAGAGTTTTTTAATGTTAGTAACTTCGACGATCTAGAAAATATTAACGGAATGATGTGGAGATTTTTAGTAATTGCAGATTTAACTGTGGATGTTGCGTGTATTAGAGACTTGGACTCAAAAATTTTGGAAAGAGAAACTGATGCTGTCAAAGTTTGGCTGAAATCAGGTAAGTTAGTTCATTCAATGAAAGATAATCCTGCACATAGTATACCAATATTGGGTGGCATGTGGTGTTATAGGAATGAACTCAATAGAGGCCTAGGAATCAAAATAGCAACAATTTGTACTGAAAAGTGCATGGATCGTGATCCTATCAAACAGTTGGAAGCAAAAAAAGGAGATGATCAGGATGTTTTAACTTTGTATGTTTGGCCGCTTGTCAGCCAGAATGCATTAGTACACAATTCTTTTTTGTGTGAAAGCGACTCTAAAAGTCAACCTTTTCCCACAAAAAGAGACATAACAGGAGAATATGTTGGGCAAATCAGGGGCGCAATCGGTATAATTGTTAAGTGTCCAATTTCATGTCGCCCAAAAGAACATCAAAATTGGAAATACTGTTAATAAGACTAAAACTAACTTGTTAAATACAATAACAACAACAGTAACAAGTTCAAATGTTAAAAAGAACAAAATCTAGTCCTTCATTGGTTTCAATGTTTTAAAAATATATATGTAATTTTTATATTGTTTTTTATAAGTATATCCTTCAATAATCATTTTGCAGTTAATAAAATGTAGTTTTGAACACTATTCAACATTGCTTGCAATCTTGACTGTAAACCACCCAGCCAGAATGTCAACCTGTTTTTAGTAAATAAACACCCAAGTCAGATGTTAATATTTTATAATTTTTCAGGCATTTATATGCAGTTTTATAAATATATATATAAATGTATATATATATATATATATATATATATATATATATATATATATATATATATATATATATATATATATATATATATATATATATATATATATATATATATATATAAATATATATATATATATATATATATATATATATATATATTTATATATATATATATATATCTGACCGGAATTTAATACTTTCAAGCCATTCCGGTTCTGGCCGGAGTCACAAAATTTTTGGCCGGATTGCCCGAACTTACATTTTTACATTTTTTTAAGATATGTGACACAGACTGTATAAATTAAATGAAAAAATCATTGTCCTACAGGGCAATGAAGAGCTATAGCTATAGGGCAATGAAGAGCTATATAAACTTACAAAAAATACAAAATTCTTAACAAACAAAACGTAATTTTATTCGCAGTAATCAATAACACCGAATTCCAGACCCCAGGCTCTGTAACACCGAATTCCAATTATGTCATAATGACATTATGACATAACTAATGACAATATTATTTTATTAGTTAATAATATTGTCATTAGTTATGTCATAATGTCATTATGACATAACAAACTATGTAGATGTAAGTTCATGGCGAAGCCCATTTTTTTAATACCCAACTTGTTGAGTCATGCTTTGAAAAAAATTCAGGAAAATGACATAGTTATAAAATGAGATCCAGCGGTTGATGTTCCAAGAAGAAATGTTATCTGATTTATGTTAAGGAATTTATGCTTTACCAAACCAAATAAGTTGCCATTATTTTTTTTGTTTTTCGCTGATTCAAAGAACATTTTATACAAAATTGTATAAAACCCATACGTGCATACTTCTTTTAGATCAGATCTGTTTTATTTTTGTTAAAGTAAAAACCTAAACCTAATTTAATAATAATTTCATAAACCTAATTTAAATATTGTCTGTATATGAAAGGTGTTTCGCTACTATTATCAACTTGCTGAAACAATGTTGAATTTTTTAGATTACCTTTTTATCTATAATATAAAAAGATGACAAAGTGATGTAAAATATTCCATGTTTGGATTTACTAATAAATTATAAAGTTTCAACATATTATTAGAGTGCTTGTTAGTTGTTGTATGGTTTATTGCATCTGCACACTGCTAATAAAAACACTGATATTATGTCAGTTGTACACTGTTTTGGCTGATATCAAAAGCAATAAAAACACTGATATTATGTCAATTGTACACTGTTTAGGCTGATATCAAAAGCTATTTTCTTTTTAGTAATTGCACATTAATAGCTAACACATTTTTAACCACATCAATAGTTTGACAATAACTCATCATAGACAATAACCACAAAGCCTATAAAATTTTAATATATTTAACAAATATAGGAGGGTGAATTATTAACCAACTTAAGCTGAAGTTGCATGAATTGAAAAAAAATTGTCAATCATGTTTTGTTTTGAAAGATAAAGAGCATATCATAACAAAATATCTTAAAGAACCTCCTGACGATGACAATGATTAGGACACGGTTGTGACAATGTCATGGACCATGATCACATCAAGAACCATGATCAGGACCAAAATGCAGGACATTATGTAAAATGTAAAACTAGTATAAAAAAATAAAATAGTCCTTGTTCTATTATCAAATAACAACTCTAAGAAGTGGATATTTCTTTATTGCATTAACTTGAAATTAAAAATGTAAATAGCTTTAAAAAATACCCTGTATTTTGCAATAGATCAAAAAAATGCAATTCATAATTATTAATTCGTCTAGACGTATTCCTAACAAAATAAGTTAAAGATACGTCCAAACTTTCGAACGCGGTAGGAAGGTTTAGACGTATTCTTAAAAAAATAAGTTAAAGATACGTCTAAACTTCGGACGCGGTAGGAAGATTTAGACGTATTCCTAAAAAAATAAGTTAAAGATACGTCCAAACTTCGGACGCGGTAGGAAGGTTTAGACGTATTCCTTACTTTAGATATGTCTTTATATCAACAAATTTTATTATAAAGTATTATTACTATCAAAAATTATTATAAGTAAATGAGTATAAATGGTATAAATTATATAAATATAAATTTTATATAATTCGGGTCTGGATTTCACAAAAAACACGAAACCTGGATTTTCTAACTGGAAAAAAGTTTTGACTAAAAAAGTTTCGGACGCTGTAGGAAAGTTTATACGTATTCCTAACAAAAAAGTAAAAACTTTAAAACGATACGTCCAAACTTTCAAATGTACAGAAAAAATTAGACGAACTCCTAACCAAATAAAGATCAAGGTACGTCAAAACTTATGGACGTATAAGTTAATTACTAAGAAAAAAAAAAATTGGAATAGGTCCAAACTTTTTGACCTGAATTTTATCAAGGAACCGTTGCGTAGTAGGCAGTCGTAGCGTAGTGGTCAAGTATTCGAACTCTGACCACAAAGTCTTGGGTTTGCTTCTCGGGTTGGCACGAAAACATTTTCTGTAAGATTGGAAACAGATAGCCAATCTATTAAATGCTATTTTCCATGGGTTGATGATCTGTGAAAAGACCATTAGGACTTAAGAATATTAAAAGTAATAACAATAATAATAATGATAGTAATAAAAAACCTTAGGCCAATTTAACAAGAATTAAGAAAAACATTTGGCAATGGATGGATAAATACTGTACCCATGCTACCTTTAATTAATAGACATTAATAAAAATATTAAATCAATATTTCAAATTATATATATATATATAACAAAAAATAGATTTATCAGGACTTAAAATAATACTTTACTTTGTCATGCAAAACATAAAGTATTAGTTTAAAATAGTTGTATTAATGTCCAATTGTCTGTAAAAGTTGAATAAATATTTTATATTTATTTATAAAAAAAACTAAGTATGGTCAGCACATGTAAACTATACCTCAGATATGTTTTATCACTTTTTATAAAGTAGATCGACTGCTAAGTTTTGCTACTATTAAGAGTAAAGCTTGTTTTAAAAAATACAGTTTGGCGTAGCAATAAAAGATACAACGAACCCAGCTCCCTGAAGTTTATCATAATAATTTTTAATCATGCATCAACTTAGCAAGACCTCAACACGACTTTAGCACGTTCCTGAAGTCTGAAGTCCTTCATTTAACATCCTCTGCTTATTATATTCAAAATTTGCCCTTAAGGCATCTTCCCAATACCTGAACCCGGCCGCCAACAATCTTGCTACGTCACTGACCATTGCTTCAAAGGCCGATATACTTTGAATAAAAATTATAAATAATAAAACCTTGTTGAGATACAATAACTACATTGAATAAGTATTAATTCTTTCATAGATATTTCATAAATAGTAATGATAAATATACATAAATAAGTTTTAAAAATTTTTTCTAATATTACAGTGAACATTAATAAAAAAAGAATCTTGAGAAATGAAGTTTATTGTTAAATTTAACAATAGCCTACTTTAACTACCGATAAATTTTAAGTTTCCACATTTGACAGACAAGTACCACAGTACCAATTTTTAGTTATCTTGGATGTCACCTTGACACAATTAAAGTGGTACCACTCAAGACAACTGCTACACTCAATTGATTCTGTGGGAGCATTGAGTAGACAAATCGGGCAATTCCACATTTTCATTTTTTTGCGTCTTAAAAAAGAAGCTCTTATAATCTTCCATGCTTGTGTTGTAAGAAATGGCTTAAGAATTTCTAAAACTACTATTTCATTCATTAGAGCTGATGGAAGATCTTTAGCTTCTAAATTTAAGTCTGCAATATCAGCAGGTGTAACAACCGTAACATCTTTAGGTTTTCCACCTTTCAGCAGACGCCGCAGCAAAACTAAAAATAAAGAAAGAATTAGGATTTAAACTCATCATCTCTTGTAAAAAAAAACCTATAACGTTTGTTCGAGTATTTTTAAACGGTGATCTCATTTTACGAGGTGGCTAGTGAAGTATAAAATTCCAATTCAATTATAGGTATTTCTTAAATTAGTTTTGAAACACATATAGGTCAAACTTTGCGAAACTATTGACTTCCTCTACCGTGACTTACCCTAACGTGTGACTTCTCTTGGAGGTTAACTTGCAAAATTGTAAAAAAATTAAAGTGTCTTAAATTATTCATCAAATTGAGTTATTAAACCAAAACCTATTTTAAATTTCTGATTGCTGATATGTAAATAATAATGTATACTTACGATGAACTTTTTCTTTAACGGTCTTCTGTTCATAAGGCAAACAGATCTTCGAAACTTTACGCAGCCCAACAGCATTTTTTTTCCCTTTTGACTTAGGACGCCCTCGTGATTGGAAACTTTGATGGAAAATGAATTTAGGATAAATCAAGTTGGGACTCAGGTATTTTAGAAGTTTCACATAATAGATTTTTTGATTTACTTAAACAGTCCATCTGATTGAGACTTATGATTTCTTTAATCTGTTTTTCAGTTTCCTTTCTGACTTCTAAAAATTTATGATCATCAACAATTGATTCTATTGTAAGTTTTTATTTTATACAACAACCCTCAAAAAGAAAATACAATATTGCCGGTTGTGCCAGTTAACAAGAGGTATGTCTGATGGTTTGTTATTGGCCTTAAGTGAGTCACTGGCAAAAATACAACATTGGCCAGTAGCAAGTATGTATGTGTAGCAAGCAAGTATAGCTTTCAGTGTAATGTTTCGTTCAAGGTTGAATTAATGTGAATGTTAATTAATTGATTCAATGTGAGAGATTGCTTAAACGCCTGGTAAAAAAACCAACTTATATTGCCTGAAAAAGATTTCTAGAATCTAATTGGATGGTAGTGGAATAAACGGTAAAATTGTAAAAGAAAAATCTTTATTACATATGGAAAAAATCTGGCAATGCCTTGGCTAATATGTTTGGCAAAACAAGCGATATAAAAAGCTCAGTCACATAGGCAGAACTTAATAGATGAAATAGTTGATGTAGAGAACAAAATAAACGAAGTATTCAGAATTGTAAAGCAAAACGTTAGGAAAAGTATAGACATTGTTGGAGAAAGCTATATTAAAAGACTAAATAGCAAAATAATGGTAAAGAAAATTGCGGTGGAAACAAATTGGATGAATCATTTGCTGAATGAATCAATCAGCTAATACACTAGGAGCACCTGCTGGTGCTCCTAGTGTATTAGCTGAAATGCTGAGTTTCATGTAATGTGGGCGTGGAGTGGGTGTCACATGTCAGATGAATTAAACTTAAATCTCAAATGATATTAAAAAAAATTAAATATTAAAAATTTATAAAAGGTGGAGAAGTACTAGTATTTAAAATGCATTTATCAATAAACCACAATTTGGTTTAAGACCATGAAAAGGAACAACAGATGCATTATTTATTTTAAGCGGTAGTGGTGTAGTGGTAGAGCCCTCGCCTCATATGCGAGAAGTTCCAAGTTCAAACCCCACCACGTCCCTGGTAGTACCGCACTCAACTTGTTTCTTCGGGCAGCAGCCTTGTTCATCAAAAAAAAAAAGTCCAGTTCAAGAGAGATTTTTCGGAAAAGTAAAAAGATCAATGAATGTAGAATGTAAAAATAATCCACGTAATAGTAAAAAGATCAATAGATGTACCCCACATGTGCTCAGACTGAATGAGATGAACGAGTAATGATTGTATTATGTATTGATTTTGTCTTATTTCTGTTTTGTTTTTATTAAATCAGATTTTATTTATTTACAATGTTGGAAAATTACATATACATATTACATGTTACATACACAAAATTACAATAAATAAATATTGTCAAACCTATAATCCCTTCACAAGAAACTGTAAAGTTTTGTACTGTATTGCTTTCAACTTCACCACTGCAACCTGGTCTTTCAAACTATAACTGGAAATAAAACAACTTACCTTCATAAAATAAATAGTTTCAAAAAGGAAAATAAACAAAGGTATACTATAGAGTTTTGTACTGTATTGCTTTCAACTTCACCACTGCAACCTGGTCTTTCAAACTATAATTGGAAATAAAAAAATTTAACTTCATAAAATAAATAATTTCAAAAAGGAAAATAAACAAAGGTATACTAGAGAGTTTTGTACTGTATTGCTTTCAACTTCACCACTGCAACCTGGTCTTTCAAACTATAATTGGAAATAAAACAATTTAACTTCATAAAATAAATAATTTTATTAAATAAGTCAAACAAATCACAGCTTACTTTAGAATTTGGATCAAAATTGCTTTTGTCATTTTTTTCAACATTAACAACTTCAACAACTTCCTCACTTGAATCTGTCATTTCAAACTATAGTTGGAAGACAAACAATTATGAATACTGAAATACTTATAAACAATTTATAGCAGCCAAATTGGCAATGTCAATAAATTATAAAAATTAAAATCTTACTTTTCTTTCACGCAGTTCAGACCGAAATATATCATCTTCGATTTCCAACTTGGAACATCCGTTTTGTATATTAAAATCAACAAAATGGTGTTGAATTGAAGTTACCATAGCTTCATTATTAGAACCCCAAATACTTGCTAAATTTTGTAAGACCCTCATTCTACATTCAAACTGTGATGATCCACCTTCTGCTGCTAAATCAGATAGATGCTGTACAAGTCGATTAGCACGACGGTACTTTTTTATGTGGGTCAAGGGTTTATCCTTTAGCTTAGCAAATTTTATATGGCTATCATGTTGCTCCTTTGTTAGAAAAACGCGATGATTTTTCTGCACTGTTTCCTTAAACCATCTAGGAGCAATGCAATTTTCAGAGAACATTTGTAATTTTTTTGCTCTTCTAGCTGCAAACATGTGTTTGCATGGCAAACCCATCGACTTTGTAAATAAACATTCGCAGGTGTTCTCAGATCGTGTTTCACTTTTTTCAGAAGTTTGTATAATTTCATTTGCTAAGTCCCAATCTATGCTGACAGATTCATCAAGCTGAGATTTAACAAAAGAAAAAGCAAACGGTGTTAGTATATCTTTATAATCTCGTTCATATTGAAAACTTGCAACTGCACTAACAGGAACTCGTTCTGTACTAGTTATATATTTATGGTCTCTTTCTTGTCGCATGCAGGCTATAACAGTAAGCAAATCTTTGAAAAATATAGGTAAAGAACTCAACAAAGAAACAACAGCTTTAATTCTTCGATTGATAGATTCAAGACGATTAGTAGTGCATTCTCCAAAAGTAATATTTTGTTGCTGCCAACAACGCACCCACTCGAACCTACAAGCATGCCAATTAACTTCAACATATTTAACAATAGGTGGTGGCATAACTTTGTGAAACTCATCACGCAACTTCTTATACTCTTTCTCAGTAGTTGCATATGTCATTTTTTGTAGAGCTTTTAAAGCAACCAGTCTTTGAGCTTCAGATATATTCATTTTTGATGTTGTTATTTCTCTGCTCATACAACGCAAAACATGAAATATACACAACAATAAATTAATTTGTGGAAATGCATGCTTAATGCATTCATGCTCTGTCATGTCTTTGTAAGTAAAAACAGATGATATCTTACTCCAGTTTATATTTTTTTCCTTGAATATTTCAAACATAGCTGAAAGTGAAACACAGTCTTCTGATGCAGTTAAAAATATAGCTGCAATTTCGCTTTCGCCATTTGGTCCGACTACAAGAAGAAGGTATAAGGGCATTCTCAAATTAGTAAGTTTATAAGTTGCATCAACCAAAAGTAACTCTGGATATAAACTAAAAAATCGCTTCATTTCATAGTCTTGAAAAAATATTCCAGTTACAATACCATTTTCATCTGTTCTTAGTTTAAGATCTGGTCCTAATAGAAAAGAAGTTATATATTCAACAGATTTGTGTTTGACAAAGAGAAACAGGGCAGGAGAGGCTCTGTGGCAATAGGGAATGCAAACTTATTAGGAGAACAAACTCTGGTACATAATCCCCACTTAAATATAGATATGAACATACTCTTCAGAAAGTTTCTTTGACAAGAGCAAGCTATTGCCTTTATATATTTGCATATCAAGCTATTGGAATTTCCTGAATTTGAATAAATAGTTTTATAAGTTTATTAATTTATTACTGTGCCTTATCCTAGCAACATGGCCATGCTATACTTGTCTATGTTAATAAATCCGATAAACTATAGTACTAAAGTGTAATGATTAACTTGATAACAAGAGCATCTATACAAAAAAAATATAGTTAAAATTCATTTAAAAATACAAGAGATAAGTCTGTAAAAGTAAGTTTAAATATAAATTTTTAGTTTGATATGCATTTTATTTTAAGTATACTGTTTCATTGAAGCAGTATACTCCCATATTATTGAATTTGACATTATTTCTTGAGTAGAGGTAAAAATAGTCAAAACCTGAAACAAAAGAAAATAATTACTCAATACTTAATAAATTATTACACAAACTCTCAATAACATAATGATTAAGAGTACAAAATTATTTTGTAATGCCACAAAAAAACAAAGTTACTGTTACCTAAATAATGTTGATTATAATTTTTTTACTAACTGATGACTAATGATCAATAAAGTAAATTTCAATTCATAAAAATTTACTAAATTAAAACCATATTTCAACAGTAGGAATACTTAACTAACGTCATGTCTTAGTGTAGAATGTCAAAGTGGAACTAGAAAAATTTAAAAAAAGAATATAATTAAAAGTTGCTTAAACATGCAAACAAATCATAATAAAAGCTAATAAAAAATGCTTTTATATAAAAAATTAAATCAAAACTTTTTTTAGTCGAAATCATTATAAGTTTAATTTATTCTGATTATTATATTATTTAACTTGCTTCATAAGCTTATCTTATATTAAGAGCAAAACGTTGTTGAAGATAAAAGATGGAAAAGTGTTTTTAATAATTTATCACTGCTCTGTTCTTTAAGAAGTATTAAGAAGAGTATTAAGAAAATACTTTGAATATCCAATGTAACACAATTATTACACACTATAACACTGACAAAAGACTATAACAATAACACTGCAATAGTTCTGCACTATAACACAGCTTAAATACAAAAAGCATTTATAGAATGTTCTTCTAAACAGTCCATCAAAACATGTACAGAGATTAATTATAATGAATAATTATAATTTTAATAACAAAAAATAATTTATATGTATTATAATAGTATTACATTATATATTATTATTATAATATTATTATATATATAATATTATTATATTTATATATAATTATAGTTTATATATAAATATATTAGTTAAATGTATGTAATTAAATACATTTATAACAAAAAAAGAGAATATATGTACTTCTCATCTTCCCCAAAAAACTTATTTTTTAACTTATTAATTTTTAAATGTACATTTAAAGCATCACTTAAAAAGAAACAGCACTGCTGTCAAAATGAAACCAATATTTGTTTCCTTGTTGCATATAACTTGTTTAAAAAAAAATTATTTATACTAACCATTACATTCTTGAAAGACTGCAAATAGTGATTTTAAATCTGTGGTACCTTTCTGTTTTGCAGCTAAGTTATGAAGATCTTTTAGAGTAACTTTTTTACCTAAAAGAAAAAGTAACATTATAATAAGGCATGGTATCGGAAAAATCTGCCCACCTTTTGCGGTGTGGTAAAGCTAGTTAACGGTCGTTTTTTGAAATTACTTTTTTTGTGTGTGGTAGTGTTTGTATAATAGAACATTTTGGCAGGAAAAAATAATTAAAAATATTATTTAGTTTCAAAATGTCAACCCAGCAAACTAAACAAAGATTTTTGATTATAGACAAACACTTTAAAAATCCAACTTTATCAAATAGAAAGTTGGCGAAATCATTAAAAATATCAAGAAGAACTGTAGATACTGTTCTTAAACGGTTTACAGAACAGAAAACTATTCAGAGAAAACAAGGTCGAAAAAAGCGCACAACAATCCTAGAGCTCTCAAACTGTTGGAGACTTCATTGGAAGAACATCCTGATTGGTCTGATAGATTTCGAGCAAAAAAATTGAAGGTTTCCAATTTTTTTTTTCATAAATGGCGACAGAGACTTGGATATCAAAGTTTTAAAGTAGTTAAAATGCCAAATCGCAATGATAAACAAAATTCAACCGCAAAGAGTCGAGCTCGAAAGTTGTATTACAACTTGTTAACAAAACATAATGGATGCATTTTGATGGATAACTTAATGAAATTTTGATGGATATACTTAATGAAAGTTCAATTAATTGATGTATGTCTGCAAGAGTAAGTTTAGTTCGAGTTTTTAAGTCATCAATATCAGCGTTCAATATATCAATAATAACCGGAATTGCTTCGTCAATGGGTATGGATGGATATAAATTGACTATATCAAATGAAACTTGAACTTCGTTAGGATCTATTATCCATTGCTTAGCTTCATTTACAAAACTATTAGAATTCATAAGTCTATTTTTATTTTTGTTCAGAGTCGGTTGAATAATTTTAACAAGATAATCAGTTGTTCCATAAGGTGGTGTGTTAATTGATGATACAACTGGGCGCATTGGGTAATCCTTTTCTGGTTTATGAGCTTTAATCATTCTGTAAATCCTTGGTGGGTTACAATCTAATGGATACATTTTAAAGTATGTATTTGTGTCTAGTTTACCTTCTTTTCTTAATTTGCACAATTGTCTTTGAAATTTAGTAGTCAATGTGGATGTTGGATCATAATCAATAATTTTGCTATTTTTTATTTGTTCTTCTAATTTGAGAGATGCATTTTGATTTAATAATGCGAAGCCTGTGCCTTTATCGAAAGGGTATATCTTAATGTTAGAATTGTTTTTTAATTTGTTTATGGAAAGACGTTGTTGCTTAGTTAAATTATCTTTTAATCTTAATTTTAGCGAATTTGTTAAAATTTGTGAACAGTTTTGTCGTAGAGTTTCTGCCTGTGTTGGTTTTTTAAGTTTTTCAAGTTGTAAAGCGCAAGTTTTGATATTAGTTATAATATCCATATAAGGAATTTTTTTCGGCAGTGGTACAAAATTTGGACCTAAATTGAGTAGCGCAATTGTTGATTTATCCAGAGTAACATTAGTTAAATTGAGTATAGCAAGTTTAATAACTTGATTGGGAGGATTAAAAGTATTTTTTATAATCGGTGTAATTTGTAATTTATGATATTTTTCTTTCATTTTCGTTTTTTTCTTAATGTAATGGTAATTTTTTGATTTGTTGGTTATACTGTTAATTAATTCATAATCGTGTAATCTCACTTTTGTCTGAAGAAATATATTTAATTCATTAATTAATTTCTTACTTGAATATAATCTGTGTTAGCCTTCGTTACGAGCATGAACTAGTAGTTTTTTACTGTATTCCTTCATTATGATTTTGCTTTTTTAGTATGAATTGGAGTTTTTATTTTAAACGATTTTGGAGTTATGTTATTGGATAAGCACTTTTGAAGAAAAACGAGTTGATTTTTTGAGTTTGCATTTCATATTTCAAATCTTGTAACTTTTTGGTATCATCGTAAATCTTTTTGCCGTAAAAAGTAGTAATATAATCTTTGAATGTCATTTTCTTGTTACATTAAAATATGGTTAGAATTCAATAAATACGGCTGCGTATAAACTTCTAGGTATATATATATATATATATATATATATATATATATATATATATATATATATATATATATATATATATATTTATATATATATATATATATATACACATATATATCGTAGTCGTAAGAGTATTTTAATGTAAAAAAAGTCTCATTTAATATACAGTTTTGCTACCTCAGCGATAAAGCAACAATTTTTTGTTGTCAGAATGTAAAACAATTAATTTAATGAGTTTCCACATTAAATTTTAAGGTTTTTTAAAAAACCACATAAATAACGACTAGAATTTTTTTTTTAATTAGCAGTGTTTTTTTTTGTTTGTTTATGTTTTGTTAAAATACATTTTTTAAATATGCGTGGAGTGTTGCTACATCGACTATCTTATAACCTGACTCGTTATGGAGTGCTGCTACATCGACTATCTTATAACCTGTCTCGTAACGGAGTGGTGTTACATCAACTGACAAATAGCCTGACTCGCTATGGAGTGCTGCTACATCAACTGAGGGTTTGGTTTGGGCAAGCTATCTATCATTTAAGAAAAAAAAAAATTTATTTAAGTTTTTAAATTGTTTCTGGTCTGCTTTATTAGCGATCTCTTTAAAACTACCATTTTTGGCAAAAACCTGAGTTGTATGTATATATATATATATATATATATATATATATATATATATATATATATATATATATATATATATATATATATATATATATATATTAGGGTCCTGTGAATAGGCATTTTTTTTTGTAATTAAATCTCTAATTGAACCACGAATTGAATCACAAATCCAATCAACAATTTGAGGAAAACTATCAATATCTAAAATACTATCACTAAAAAAATAGTAAAGTACTAAAAATGATAAAAAACAAGAAATAATAAAATAATAAAAATAGTAAAAAAAACTAAAAAAAGTAAAAACAAAAAATTGCAAAAAAATAGTAAAATACTATCACTAAAAAATTATGACTGAATGAAATAACTTCACAAAGAAAAGGGTCAGGGTTTGGTTAACCTATAATTCCAATGGTTCCTAAAATGACCGTGAATGATTTAACTGATTTTATTGGTGAAGACTCCCCAGTATTTTTTACGATATTAAACATAAAAAAGATGAGCAAAACTTGCGAGTAAATGCTCATCCAAACACGCATTTGTATATATATATATATATATATATATATATATATATATATATATATATATATATATATATATATATATATATATATATATATATATATATATATATATATATATATATATATATATATATATATATATATATATATATATATATAAAGAGAGAGAGAGATGTTTTGCAAAATACTTAACAGAGAATAAACTCCAAGTAGCAAATCAAAAATAATTCAAATTAAGATAAAATACTGACTTTGTCAACAACATGGTTGTGCTCCAATACCAACTTTTGTATGCATAATTGTGAACCATTTTCGGATACATTTATCCA